AAAAGAAACTCTAACTAAGACACTAGGCAAACTTCACCAGCTGAAACACATCCCCAGCCTTAACTCCTAAGTAATCTCAAAACCAGTGAAATGCATTTACATACCCAGGAGGCCATGGGAATTGCAAGGCTGCCACATTTGCCTGGGGGATCGTGTCTCAGAACCGGAGTGGTCTGTTGAAAACAGTTGCATGTCTCCTAGACAACTGACAGTATGCTTCCATGCTGTGGATGTTGCAATCTCTAGACTTGCATTTCCCCTTTGGGGCTCTTGAAAATTTGGACATGGTTTTCTGGTTTTCAACTGTGTCTCTTCTTGTCTACTCGACTGTGATGTATCCATTGCTCTGGTATCCTCACTTACCATTGTGGATGCAGCCTGGGGGAAATGGAGTTGGAGGCTTGTTCTCAGAGTAAAAGATTTGTCCCTGAGTCTCTTCAGAATGAGAGAGAAGACAGATGACACATTCAGCCTTTAGCTCTGACCTTGGATAAATCAGTTCTTCTCTCTGGATCTTCATTTTCTCAGACAGACAAGAAGGATTAAAAAGTTACAAGCTTGGGCTGGAGCAATGGCTCAGCAGTTAAGAGCACAGGCTGCTCTTTCGAAGGACCTGGGTTGAATTCCCATCACCCACATGGCCACTCACAACCATCTGTAACTCCATTCCAGGGGATCCAGTACCCTCTTTTGGGCTCTGAATGCATCTGATGCACAAAGTATACATGCAGGCAAAACACCCACATGCACAAAATAATAAAATGGTTTTTCAAAATAGCAATCTCCCTCATAGAATTGCTTTGAAGAGTCACACAGTACCTTGAAAGAAACAAACAAGGTCTGTCATTAAAATTTCTTAATTATTTTATGTTATATGTATGTGTATGTCTGAGTGTGTGCATGTGTGTTTCAGTGCCCACAGAGGCCAAGGAGACACCAGATCCCTGGAATTGGAGTTACAGGCGATTGTGAGCCACCCCAAGTGAGAACCAAACTCAGGCCCCTCCACAAGAGCACCAGGCACTCTTAACTGCTGAGCCATTTCTGTCTTTAGCTAGATCTGGTAACACATAAGAGGCTGAAGTAAGAGCATCTTGAGTTCAAGTCCGGCCTGGGCTAAATAGTGAAACCAAACTCAAAGAAAGCAAGTGTGTGGACTGTGCTGCTTTGAAAGTGAGATGCTCCTTCCCCACCCCCAGACCCATGCGTTTGAACACAGGGTACCTGGCTGGTGGTGTTTTGGGGAGATCTGGGAAGCCTTTGGGAGGTAGGGCCTAACTGGAAGAAGAAGTTTAATGGAGAGTTGGGCTTTCCAGACCATAGTAGGGATACACGTCTTCTCTGTCTTTGCTTTTTGATATCTCAATATGTGGTTAAGAACCAACCTACTGCTCTTCTAGACGATCCATGTTCAGTCCTTAGAACGCACCTCAGGAGGCTTACAACTTCCTATAACTCTAGCTGGATCTGACTCCCTCTTCTGACCATCACAGGCAACTACACTCATGTGCACATACACATACACATAATTTAAAATAAAAAGAAATAAACATAAAAATAGGCCTGGTGGGGCACACCTATAATCCCAGTGCTCAGGAGACAGAGGAGGTGGATAGACCTGTGAGTTTGAGGCCAACTTGTAAGGCGTTTTGGGCAGTTCAGCTGGGACAGGTATCCTGGAGCTCGGGAGTCACAGGATACTGAGTGTTACACAGCTCAGTTGGAAAGGGATCCTGGAGCTCAGGAGCCAAGGAATACCACAGGCCACAGTAAGCATAGCAGCTCACAGCCCTGTTTCAAGGGGGGCTTCCCCAGTGTGTCAGCTCTGCTCCCGCAGAAAAGGGCTTCTCCTGTGAAGTTGTCTCGGCTCCAGTCCCCCGGAGTGTAACAACCCTGCTCTGTCAAGGTTTCCCTTGACAGAAGCATTACAACATTGCAGCTTCTCTCAGCCATTGCCCCTCTCTGCAGCTCCTCCTTGCCACCCCTCTCCTCCTCCTCCTCCTAAGAGTTCCATGGGGACACAGGGTTTATATAGTTTCTCCAGAGTGCAGGGATTGGTCCAATTTGAATCCCTGAACTGATTGGCTAGCTCTCTGTTCAAGGATTGGTTAGTTTTCTGCATGGGTTTAGGGCCAGATTGAGCTTTAGTTTCAGGGCCAAAGTGTGTTTCTTTTACTGGTCTTTTTGGCTTTCTGGCCAGGGTGTATTTCTTTCACTGGCTCTGATTCTAGGGACAAAATGTGTTTCATTGGCACTAGTTTCAGGGTCAGGGTGAATTTCTTTGGTTCTGGTTGCTGGGTCAAAGTGTGTCTCTTTGGCTCTGCTCAGGGTGTGTTTCTTTGTCTAGATCTTTTTCCTTCCACAACTTCATCTATATAGTAAGTTCCAGGCTAGCCAGGGCGATATAGTGAGACCCTATCTGAAAAAATAAAATGAATCTTTAAAGTTCTCATTTCCAAACAGAGGCCCATTGAGGTGTTAGTGCTTCAACATATGAATCTGGGGGTTGGGAACATACCAGTCTACATCACAAAGGACATGAGGAAGGAAGCCTGGACAAGTGAGCCAGTCTGTTCCATCACTGTGACCATGACAACAGAAGAATTTTTAGAAGGGTATCCATGGCAGCAGAAGTTCAAATGGCTGACCAGACCTTGGGAAACATCCCAGATGGGGGGTTCTGGGACATCCATACAAATGTAGCCCGATCCCAGCCAGCAACGTGGAGGGTATGCAGCAGGGAATTTAACCGTAGGGGAGGGGCAGCTGGGAACAGAACAGGGCCCAGAGGGACTGAAATGATGGATGTGCTCGGGACTCAGGGTGTAGTGTGAGGCTTTGGGCTGGATCTCCTGCACCAAACAGAGAAGAATGAAAGAAAAGAGGACAACCTCAAAGCCCTGGACAGAGCATTGTGCACGAGTGCTGAGAAGGTAGATTCCAGCAGAAGCCCATTTATGGACACACCCACCGGAGGGTTCTGATTCATAAAGGAATTACAATGATCACTAAGCATAGGAGGACAGCCATAGACAGAACCGTAGTAAAACGATGGCACACATGTAACCCTAGCACATGGGTAGGGGAAGGAAAGTGCAGTTTAAAGTCAGCTGGAAGGCTGTGAGATCCTGTCTCAAAAGCTCAAAGGCCATGCTGGCAAGATGGCTCAGCAGGCAAAAGTGCTTTGTAAACTCTCTGTCTGTCTGTCTGTCTGTCTCTCTCCACACACACACACACACACACACACACACACACACACACACGACAACAGCACACACATAAATAAAGAAGTAAATTATTTTTAAACCAAAAGCAGGGGTATGGTTCAGTGGTAGAATGCTTATCTAGAATCCCCCTGTGACAGACTGAGGAGGGGAGCTTAGCTTCAGAGTACCTGTCTAAAATTCCCAGCACCCTCAGGACAGCTCACAATAGTCTATAATTCCAGTCCCAGGTTATCTGCCAACTTCTTCTGGCTTCAGTGGGCACTGCATGCATGTGGTACACAGACATACAAGCAGACAAAACATTCATACACATAAAATAAAAATAAAGGAAAATTTTAAAAAAAGAAAACCAATGGATAGATTGGGGAGTATTTTTGAGATGTATCTATACTGGGTTAAACCTCTCCCCCAGAGTTCATCATCTTCTCAGAACCTGAGAGGGAGTTCTTCAAGTAGAGAAAAGCTTTGCTTTGGGTCCTGGGAACTGAACCCAAGGCTTTACACTAGCTGGGCTTTATTTATTTTTTAAGGTAAAATTTATGTAGCTCAGACTGGCCTCACATTTGTGATCTTCCTGCCTTAACATCCTGAAGACTGGGTACAGGTGTTCATTACCAAATATGTTTTGAGATGGGACATTATATATCGCTTAACTTTATTTTAAGAAAAGGATTATTTTAAATATTTGTAACTCCGTGCATGTGTGCGGAGAGGCGGTATGGACTTGTGAGTGCAGATGCCTGTGGAGACTAGAACAGAGTGCTGGATCTCCTGAAGCTCCAGTTACATATGGTCCTGAGCCACCCAAAATGAACAATGTTCCCAACATTTTGCTCATCAGCCCAGCATCCTGTATGAACAACTGCTTCTCCTGTGAGGTCATTCAGGTCCTAGCTCTAGAATACTGCTGCATTTTCAAATAAGACAGTGTTAATTCACCTGATAAGAAGAGAGACGTGGTGCTCCTCTGCCTCTTGGGATACATTTGGGAGTTGTCTATATTTCCTTCTCTTAGGAAGCAAATTGTTCTCCAAAAAGCTACTTTGGGGCCGAGGTAATGGCTCAGTCAGTAAAACACTTGCCTCGAGAACACAGAAGCGTAAGACAGATCCCCAGAACTCATGTTTTCAAAAATACCAGCCTTGGTGGCATGCAGTTGTAACCCCAACACTGGGGAGGTGGAGACTAATGCATCCCTGGGGCTCACTGGCCAGCCAGCCTAGCTTAATTGACAAGCTTCAAACCCCCAGTGATATGCCTTGTCCTACAAAAACAAGGTGAGGGAGCCAGACACCGTGGTGCACACCTTTAATTCCAGCACGTAGAACGCAGAGGCAGGCGGATCTCTGTGATTTCCAGGCCAGCCTGGTCTACAAAGAGAGTTCCAGAACAGCTACTGCGGCTACACAAAGAAACACTGTCTCAAAACAACAACAACAACAACAACAACAACAAAACCCACCAACAAACAAAACAATAAAACCAAGATGAGGGACTGGATAGATGCCTCAGCAGTTAAGTGCATTTACTGTCTTTTAGAGGATCTGAATTCAGTTTTTAGGACCTATACAGGGTGGCTTACAACCATCTGTAATTCTAATTCCTGAGGATCCAATGCTCTTTTCGGGCCTCTCCCTCTCCTCCCCTCCCTCATGCTATTTTGTTTTCAACCACAAAATCCTCTGGGATGTTCTTCAGGTATTGCACGGCCTCACAGAAGACAAGACAAGAAGGATTCAGAAGACATCTATGAAGAGCCCAGGTCAATGGACTATGAAGACCTTCTCTTTGAGTCCCATTGTTCTCCTGGCCTTCTTCCTCAGTGTCCACCTTGGAACTGTCACACATATGTACATAGCTGGACCCTCTCCCCTTTCCCCCCTGAAGCTCCTCCACTGAAAGGAACTCTTCAAGGTTATTCTCCTTTGTGTTTTTTAGGTGGGAGTGACATATCCAAGCCTTGCTGCCAATATTCCGGCCACTTAGTGATCCCATGGAACTGGGTGCACTCCTATGAGCTCCACAAAGACAGCTGTTCCCATAAGGTCCTGATGTGAGTGTTAGGTCCTGCTACATCTGCCGCATCATTGGGCAGGGACTGGGTAGATGTCCACAGTGCCAGACTGGACTTTGGGATGGGAACCTGGGAAGTGAGCAGCTAAGTTTTGTGTCTTGTCTCTGGGATGAAAGCAACTTAAAGAAGAAATTCCAGGTTACAGTCTGATCCACTTGGCTTTCTGTCACTATGATAATTGTCATCACCAAAATCAACTGGGTTTGCTCTGTGGTTCATGGTCTCTGCCAGCTTTCTAATATAGTTCAGGCCCACCTGCCTAACAATGGTGCTGTCTAGGGAATAATGCCACCCATAGTTGGCTGGGTTCTCCCACATCAATCAATGAAAACTATTTTTTACAGATGTGGCCACAAATCAATCTTATTGAGATAATTCTTTAATTGAGGTTTTTTAGATGACCCCAGGCTATGACTACTTTGAAAGCTGAAACTAAGATACAATCCATCATTGCTGGGAAGGCAAGGTAGCAAGATCTTGAAGCAGCTATTCACAACTATAACCACATTCAAGAGCAGAGAACAATGACTTAATGCTCACCTTATTTCTCTGTTCTTATACAGTTCAGAGTCCCTGCCTAAAGAATAGTGGGCAAGTCTCCCTACTTCAATTAATACATTCAAGATAGTCCCCCACAGAGACTTCTTTACAATTAAAACTAACCGCCAAGCTGGTTAGAGCCCTCTCTCTACAGAAACACATGTGGTGTTGAGATAGTTAGATTCTGACTTTTGTACCACGTAGCAGGCCATGCTCTCAGAGCTGGGTATAAAAGCAAGAGGTGAACACATTGGTGTAAATCTGTAATCCCAGAACTCAGGAGGCTGAGGCAGAAGGATCATGAGTTTGAGGTCTACAGGGGTTACACAGTAAGACCTTGTTTAAAAAACAAAAAAGCTGGGTATTGATGGTGCACGCCTTTAATCACAACCCTTGGGAGGCAGAGGCAGGCAGATCTCTGTGAGTTCAAGACCTGGTCTACAAAGCCATACAGAGAAATCCTGTCTTGAAAAACAAAAAACAAAAAAATGAGAAATTATGAATTTGGCAACCAAATCCAACCATCTGAGTTTACTCTCCTGGTTCCCTGTGAGGGAGACAGAAAGATAACTCCCTGAAAATTGTCCTCTGAACTCCATATATGCCCTATAGCAAGTGTGTTCCCCCCTTACAATAAATAAAATTTAATTTAAAAGTATAAAAAATGAAGTGGCATATTTGTATGTGGTTCCTTTCTGTCCTCTAAAATTCCTTGTGCAGAGCTGCAGTGTAACTTGGTGGTTTATTTACTATTATGAAGCTCTGGGTTGTACGCTCAGAACATACACACACACACGAAAGATTAAAAATGTCTGGGTGAAATAGTTCTCTCGTCTATCACTACACTGACCTATTAACCAGCAGATGCTTAAGTTTATTTGTTTATTTACCTTACTGGGGATTGAAACTAGGGCTTTTTTTTGTTTTTTTTTTGGGGGGGTGACAAGGTTTCTTTGTGTAACAGCCCAGGCTGTCCTGGAACTCCCTTTGTAGACTGGCCTCAAACTCACAGAGACCTACCTGCCTCTGCCTCCCCAATTCAGGGATTAAAGGTACACACCACCACTGACAGGCTGAAGCTAGGGCTTTCTACATGTTAGGCAAATGTACTACCACTGAGGCAAACTCCACCAAAGCTCCTTACTGAAAAATTCTAGGCAGGAGCTCTGTCAAAGAGCCACATCCCAACCCCTCACTGGGGATTCTAGGCAGGTGCTCTACCACTGAGCCACACCCCAGCCCCTCACTGGGGGATTCTAGGCAAGGGTTCTACCACTGAGCCACACCACAGCCCTTCAGTGGGGGATTCTAGGCAGGTGCTCTACAGCTGAGCTATAATATCATCATCATCCCTAATCATGCCAAATGTGTGCTTCATAGTGTGTGTGAATTATGTCTCAATAACTCTGTTATATAGAAAGGAAAGGTAGGGTCACAATACAGATTACTGTCTGTGGCAACTAGACCTTCTGAGACATGATTCCTGGGGTCTGTGGGCCTGAGAGTGTGTGGATCCCAGGGGAAATGGAAAGGAGAAGCAGGATCAGCAGGAGATGGGACAGGATGGGAGTGTAGCTGTTGTGTTGAACAGGGGAGAATACTGGTCACACTAACTCACTCTCCTCTTCCATAGCTTCTTAAGTCAAGAGTGTCGACATTCACTTCTTATCTCTTTCCCACAGATTGACTACAAAAAGAGGTAAGAAGAAAATCTGTGTCCAACCACAGGCCAAGTGGGTGCAGAGATACATTTCTATGTTGAAAGCCCATAAGCGTGCTGGAGGTTTTGCTCAAGGATCTTTGAACTGAGCTCTTTTCTCCTCTGTCATCACAGAGCCTGACAAATTCCTTTAGACGGTTCATAGTCCTGGTAGAAGGAGAGCATGTTTTTAAAATAAAGCTTTGATTTCACTAGTACTGGCAAGATGGCTCAGTGGGTAAAGGCACTTGCCACCAAGACTGACAACCTGCGTTCAATCCCTGAGAACCCACATAATGGAAAGAGAAAACCAATTCGTGAAAGTTGACCTCTGACCTCTGTGTGTGCATCATGGTACATGCATACACGTGCGTGCGCGCGCGCGCACACACACACACACACACACACACACACACAGAGAGAGAGAGAGAGAGAGAGAGAGACAGAGAGACAGAGAGAGAGAGACAGAGACAGAGACAGAGACAGAGAGAGAATAAATAAATGCAATTAAAAATTTTGACTAACTAGGCATAGTGGCATACACCTTTAATGCTGGCACCTGGAAGACAGAGACAGGCAGATCTTTTTGAATTTGTGACCAATTTGGTTTATATAGTGAGTTCCAAGTCTTCCAGGACTTCAAAATAAGATACTGTCTCAAGATGATGATGATGATGATGATTTAGAGACTAAAATAGGAACACAAACTTTGTCCTCCAGATATGCACACACAAGCACAAATACACACACACACACACACACACACACACACACACACACACACACGAAATGTCTCTCAATCAAACCCAGAGCTTACCAATATGGCTTGCTCGGGGATTCCCTATATCCACTTTCTATGCCTGGAATCCTAGGCAGGCCACCTTGCCCATCTGGAATTACGTGAGCACAGCAACAATAACAGCAATAAAATGAACCAGCAAAAACAAAGAGTGTGAACACTAATACTACCAGTTCCTTGAACCATGAACCTGGAACATCTTTCCATTTGTTTGTTTTCTTCAGCATCTCTTACTAACAATGAATAACGGCTATTCTCACTAGGCCTTAAGAAAGTACTTATTGGCCAAGATCCTAGTTCTTATCTGAGATACATGAGTTTCATGGAAATGGATATTGAGGTAAGAGTTTATATATCATAAATTCTGGAATTGATCCAGAGGACATCAGTAGGGAGTAGGGACATGAGACAAGAAAGGAAAAGAAGTAATAATGTGTGTGAACAGGCAAGTTACGGGAGATGGTGGTGGACAGATTAGGAGTGTAAGTCTACACCATCAATTCAAAGCCAGTCTGGGCCACACTAGACCCACCGTCAAAAACCCAAACCCAAACCCAAACCAAACCAAACCGATGTGCCTGAGGATGGACTCTCCTGGTAGAGTGCTTTGCCAGCATGCAGTAAGCCCTGTTCTATCCCCAAAATCAGATACAATGGATGTGGCGACTGGTGTACCTAGGGAGGTAGAGGCAGGAAGATCAAGAGTTCAAGGTCCCTGGGGCTGGAGAGAGAGCTTAGCAGTCAAGAGTGCTTGCTCTTGCAAGGGCCTCTCAGTCCCCACATGGTGGCTTACAACCACCTGTAACTCCAGCTCCAGGAGATCTGATGCTCTCTTCTGACCTCCACAGGCACCAGGCATACACGTAGTGAACATGCATAGATCACACAAGTAAAACAATCATATACATAAATAAATAAATAAAAACTTAAATGGAAAAGGAGTTCAAAGTCATCCTCAGCTACATAGAGAGTCTGAGGCCATCCTGAACTACATGACACCTTGAAAACTGAATAATTAGAAAAAAAACAAGAGGACCCAGAGATGTGCCCTATTGGTTAAGAGCATGTACCACTTGCTGTTCTAGGTGGCCTGAGTTCAGATTCCAGAGCCCACATCAGGTGGCTTACAATGAACTGTAACTCCAGATTTTACCCTCTTCTGGCCTATGCAGGCACCTGCACTTACATGCACACATACACATAGATGGAAATTTTAAAAAATCTTTTAGAAGCATCCTCCCTGCTGAGTTAGCTTTCATGGCACTGGAATGTGCTATGTAGCCTGCTGGGGAGGAAAAGTTAGCAACAGTCTTACTCAGCTATGAATTGAATGAACAACACTAATGCTGCTTCAGCAAAGTAAATGCCCATAGGTGCAATAGTGGTATAGACATTGTGGGGGTAACCAGTCACTTTCTGCTTAGATTTAAAGCCTGCTGCATTGTGTGGTGGGAAATCATTCTGCCAATAGTTCGGGTGTGGCTTCAGTGGGTGGACATGATCACTTATAAGGAAGAGCATCCTGCACCTCCAGGGTCAGAAGACCGATGTGGCTATTTACCTTTATTGCATGAATGTTCCCCAAATTAATACATTATTCTTTTATTTGGGTGTTGGTGGACTTCCTTAATTGCCCTTCAGCATTGGAAGAAACACATTCCTGATACGGTTGACCTGGTTAAGAATCCATGATGAGGAGATCACTGGCCCCAGGGGTAACCTATTACTATTATTCTGCTAAATGGGCATAGTATAAAATTGGCTTCTAAATCTCTCTCTCTCTCCTCATAGATTAGTGCAGCTCTCAGGTCTTATCAGAAAAATTTCTTTGTGCAGTGGGTGGTGATTAATGTAGAACTTGACTACTGGTCGGAGTGTGGAAAATAAACACCAGTGGAGTGGTTGGCTGTGAACGGGTCAGGGACCCCTGTGGAGAGGAGGCAGAAAGAATGTAAGAGTCAGAGAGAGGGAGGACCAGGCTGAAGCACTTCTAGATATGGCAGGGCCAAGGCACACACGAGCCCACATCACAGCTGCTGTGGTTTCCTGCACAAAAGCTGCTCAAGTTCACTTTGACATGATGTGGGAAGAGGTTCAGAACTGCTGACCCATAACTGAGGAACTATGGACAGCTGATGGCTTATTTAGGTCATAATCAGTGTTGGGTCTCAAAGATACCTGGAACAAGTCTCACTCAGTACCTGTGGCTCCTTTCTGGCGTTTCTCACCCCTACCCTGCCCTAAACATCTCCCTCCCAAGAGCTGGGCTTCTCCCCTACCCCAGCTTCTCTTTCCTATAGAAACTCAGCCATTTTGGCTATGCAGTCTCTTAGCCTCTTGGTATCCTGTCTGGCTCTGCTCCTGGATCTCTCTTGGTCGGCTTGCCCCCACCCCCAGCCTTCCCCCTCTCTCTTTTCTTTCATGGCCTTGTTCACTCTGGACTCTTCCAGATGCCTCTGGTTGTTTTCTCCCTCATCTTTACAATAAACCTTCTCCAGCCATGCATTGGAGCTGTCAGTCAGGCCTGGCAAGCACATCATATATGGAATTACAGTTAAAAGCTGCCTTTGCTGGTGTACCCGTCAACTGGAGTTATAGGATGAATCTGGAATGTTGCCCATGTGCTGTGTGACTGGCACTCACAAGATTGCTGACACACCTTCCCCGCCATGATGGACTGTCCTGCCTTTTATTGTTTTGTCTTTGTCATGAGCCCAAACAAACCCTTCTTTCTTTAAGTGGCTTTTATCAGCTTGTCAAAGCAAGGAGAAAAGTAACTAAGAAACCTCACAACAAAATGACAAATGCCAGGCAATGAGGTACCTAATCAGATAGATGGGCTCAGGCCTCAGTAGACACGACCGTGTCCAGAACACAAGAGAAATAGTTGGGGATTTAAGAGCCAAGGTTTGGTGCCAGGTATGCTAGTGCACACTTGTCATAAGGGCAGAAGGGTCACACTTGGGGCAGAAGGGTCACAAGTTCAAGGTCATCCTCAGCTACACAGTGAGTTTAAGACCCGGCTATATGAAACCCTGCCCACAACCCAAATCCGAGAATGTGCTGAATGTTGCTAGTTCCCTAGAGAAACCAAAATCTTTTCGTTTCTGCCCCCCCATTCCATTTGGTAACGACATTGTCTCCTCCATTAGGAATCCATTAAGTTCAGTGGAGGCCAAGCTGAGGAGTCCATTAAGGCTCCCTTGGGTGTAACCGGCATCTATCCAGTGCATTAGAGTGGAGACTGCTGGCAAGGAGGCCCTTTGGGTTGGCTCAGCAGCTGCCTTCCCAGGTTGCGGTGTGTTGCTGCCTCATCCATTTTTGACCAGCAAAGCCCATCAAAGCCTGGGGGCTTGAATGAGGGAGTCCCTATTTCTGCATGCCTGGTTTCTACTGTCTGTGTGCTATGAAGCAATTGCTTCTTCCATGGATAAGCAGTTTCCTATGGCTTTCTTTGTTTTGTTTTTCTGTTTTTTGAAACAATGTCTCAATGTAGTCTTGGATGGCTTAGAATTTACTATATAGACTAGGCTGGACTCCAACTTGTAAAATTCTCCTGCCTCTATCCCCCCAGTCCTGAGATGACAGGTGTATGCCACCACACCTAGTTTATTCTGTCATGGGGGTGGAAGCTTTCACCGATGCTAAGTAATCATTGTATCACGGATGTCTCCAGCCTGTTTTGTTTCTTTTCTTGGTGTGTGTCATGTGAGCATACACAAGCAGAGGCCACAGAGGGGTGCTGGGTCTCCTGTTCCATCTTATTCTTCTGAGACAGAGTCTTTCATTGAACTTGGGAGCTAGGCTGGCAGCCAGCAAGTCCTAGCGACCTCCATGTATCTATCTTCCATAATGCTGGTATTACAGGGGTCCCAAGCATGCACATAAAATAGCTGAGGTAGCAGTGCATGTCTGTAATCATTACCCTGAGGAGGTGGAAACAGGGGGTGCCTTGGGAATTTCTGGTGGGACAGTCTAGCCAACTCAGCAAGCTCTTTGTTTAGTGGAGACCCTGCCTCAAACAAAAATAAGGTGGAGATGGACAGAATGTCACGGGAGGTGGAAACAGGGGGTGCCTTGGGAATTTCTGGTGGGACAGTCTAGCTAACTCAGCAAGCTCAAAAATAAGGTGGAGATGGACAGAATGTCACGCATAGGCACACACACACACACACACACACACACACACACACACACACACTCCTCATAGGACGGCCCCTGAACAACAGCGATTAGCTCAGCACAGTACTGCATACCTGTAACCCAGCACTGGGAGCCATGGCAGGGTAGTGGGTACAAGGTTATATAGTA